TGTGTGTACCTTCACTTGTTGCTGTGTGTGTACCTTCACTTGCTGTTGTGTGTACCTTCACTTGTTGCTGTGTGTACCTTCACTTGTTGCTGTGTGTACCTTCACTTGTTGCTGTGTGTGTAGCTTCACTTGTTGCTGTGTGTACCTTCACTTGTTGTTGTGTGTGTACCTTCACTTGTTGCTGTGTGTACCTTCACTTGTTGCTGTGTGTGTACCTTCACTTGTTGCTGTTGTGTATACCTTCACTTGTTGCTGTTGTGTACCTTCACTTGTTGTTGTGTGTGTACCTTCACTTGTTGTTGTGTGTGTACCTTCACTTGTTGCTGTGTGTACCTTCACTTGTTGCTGTGTGTACCTTCACTTGCTGCTGTGTGTACCTTCACTTGTTGCTGTGTGTACCTTCACTTGCTGTGTGTGTACCTTCACTTGTTGCTGTTGTGTGTACCTTCACTTGTTGCTGTGTGTACCTTCACTTGCTGCTGTGTGTACCTTCACTTGTTGCTGTGTGTACCTTGCGCTTGTTGCTCTGTTTTGGTTGAGCAGCAATGATCTGCTGAGGCTGTTTAGCAGCAGGACACTTCATAGAAACATCTACATTGTTGGTGGCTTTCAGCAGGTCCAGAACCTCCTGCGTTTCTCTGCAGATGGCAAACAAACACATTACAATCCAAGCTGAACTCACACAACAGCTTTAATCGTTTCAGTCATTTCACACAGGCTGATGAGTCAATCTATGAAGGCGGCTCATGAAAGTTATTTTTAACCAACCTCTCGATGAAAACATTAGTAATACATCCAACCAGGTTGTTCGGGCCTTCGGGCATTCCTCCCAGGAAGGTGTTTCCCATTGTGGACAAGACAGTTTTCATTGTTGGGTTCACTGTGGTCTGAGTCGATGTCTCCAGCACGTCATCCACGTACAGACGTATCCTGAGAAACGAGCAAAGAGGTCAAATGACACTCGGAACGCTGCTTCCTGTGGATGCGAGGAAAATGTAACCGCTGCCATCCTACCCGGTCACATTGTTGTATATGGTGACATAATGACTGATGTCATCGTTGTACGTCTTCTGCGTTTTAATCGCCTTGTTGCCAGCTTGCACCACGATGTGGCCTTTCTGCAAAAACACCTGACAGACGTCCTCCTGTGGCCACAGAAAAGCACAAGAGTTTGAAACAAGGAAGAAGTCAGCACATCATAGATCCAACAGATCAGGACAGAAGAAGAATACGGGAAACAGACAGCTGAGAGGCAACGGTCAACAGGAAGTGGTTGAGGGTTTCCTCTGACCTGGTTTTTGTGGAAGAACATGAGTCCATCGGTCGTCTCAGTTCTGAAGCCAAGGCCGGCAAAGAAGTTGTTCATGATACTAGAAGCATCCATCACATTAAAGTTCAGGTAGCTCTGACCTGGGAAATAACCCTCACGAGCCAACTGCACATGTGCGTGCGCACACACACACAC